TTTTCATATATTTTTAAACTAATTTTTATAATATATGAATAATATATAATTAAAATTTTTATTTATATTTCTTATGGAATATTAATGTGATAAAAAAATTTTAATGATTATTAATGTCGACATGTACTATAAAAAATATCATCTAAAGATACATATAAAAAATCATACTTATTTTTTTGAAATAGATAAAATAATAAGTCAAATTACTTATATTTTGAAATTGATAGAGTGGAATGAAGTAAAAAATTTATTGTTCCAGTTTCATCTCCACTTTCACAGCTGCCTCGATCCTCCTCTTCATCGCCCATATATATTTTGTTGTGCAACTGATTATAATAAGCTTCATGTTTATATATTTGGGGCTTTAGGAATGGTATGATGCTTTTCACCTTCTCATCATATTTCTTTTCAGCCATCTGATTTTATCCATTAATTAACTAAATGAATTTAGTAACACTTACCATCTGGTGCTATGGACTTTATTTTACAGATTGCATCATCATTTTGGTAAAATCTACAACATATTCTGCACTCCGCATTTTTTTATCTTTTCAAAACCTTCAAATTAAAGAAGCACAATTTTCAGGTTAGCAGGTGACATTTTTTTAATTTAATTCCTATATATTTTCCTCTCTCAAAAGCATTTTATATACTCATATATTGTTTTCCTTTTCTTCTTTGTAACTTTTTTTGCATTTTGGTTTTCATTTTGCACGCAATTGATGAAGAAGTTTTGGGTTAGCACATCGTTTCTCTCATCATTCTAGGTCATTCGGAGAAAGCCCTAGCTATATAATTAAGTGAGGTACATTAATTTCTTCTTTCAATTAATTATAATTATTTTATGACTAATTTATGTCTCCTTTTTTTGAATATGTAATAATTAAAAAAATGCAGTCTAAATTCATCTTAAAGTTAGACAGTAAAAACAAATTCATCTATAAAATTTTTTATTAGAACGATTAAATCATCCAAAATTTAACATGTAACGTCATATGATAGCAATTCATTAACTACTTGTATCATTGATAAGTTCATTGTTAATGAATTATTAATGTAATCCGGCATCACACGTTAAATTTGAATAATTTGTTCATGGCAAAAGTTTTGTGGGTGAATTTGTTTTTATTTGAATAATTTGTTCATGGCAAAAGTTTTGTGGGTGAATTTGTTTTTATCTTTTGTTTCAGGGTAGAGTTGAGCATTCTACCTAAAAAAGTACATAATATAATATCCCCCTTTTTTTTGAGAGTTAAAGTATTCATTTAACATTTATCTTATTAACTTTAAAGTTTTTAGTTATTCATCTTATATTATGAAGTTTTTAATCTCTGAACTTAAAAACTTAATAATTTTAATTCTTATGCTAATGAAATTCAGTAACTATTTGTTAAAATGAAAATAAAATATTTATAGGATCAATTCTCAAAAGTTAAAAATGTAACAATTTACTTTTAAAAATTTTAAAATTGAAAAAAATTAGTAAATTAAAAGGAATTAATAGATGACTTTCGCATGTATGCTAGAACAATATTAAATATTTGTAATCAAATCAAGTGATTAACTCAATATAAAAAAAGAATTCTTACTGACATTAAATTTTTTTTTTTTACTATATTGAAAACAAAAAAATCCAAAAGAGCAGAAGCTTTTTGAGCGGGTATTTTGGTATCCACTTACCATCTCATGCTGTTATGTACTCTCTTTACAGATTGCATCATTATTTTGGTAAATTCAACTGCATATTCAGCAATCTGCATTTTTTTTATCTTCTCAAAAGCCACAGATTAAAGAAGCACAAGTTTTATGCCAACAGGTATAATTTTTTAATTTAGATCCTATACGCTTTCTTCTCTCAAAAGCTTTGTTTATTTATTTATTCTTTTTCTGCTTTTTAACTTTGTTGCACTATGGTTTTATTTTACACGCAGTCTATGAAGAAGTCTTGTTAGCACATCCTTTATCCCATCATTCTGAGTCATTTGGAGAAACCACCAACCATTTAAGTGAGGTACATTTTCTTATTCCAATTAACTATTAATTATTTAACAACTAATTTATATAGAAAATGATTGATACACCTTTTGGTTCAACACATCTGACAACACTTTTCGGTTCAGTTATTAAAATTTATTTCTAAAAATTTTCCCGTCTTAAATTCAAATTTGAATATGTTAGTTTTTTAATAAATAAACCAAAATGTGTTATACAGTGTATTGAACCAGATGACATACCAATCATTGTCTAATTTATATATATCTGATTCTTTGAATCTGTAAGATAAAAATACATACAAGAATATCTCCCCTTTTTTTGAGTGGCTAATTTGGTATCCACTAAAAAACAGAAGTGTGACATTTTCCCCTTCTAAAGTGTAAACTACTTGTTTTGCACATTTTGTGGTGTTTATAACAGTCAGCATTCACGTACCTTTTATTTTCTTTTTTTTTTTAATTTTATTTTAACCTATTCTAATTTAAATTTTCGTATATTAGAGAAATAAATAAAAATCAAATATTTGTTAGATTAAAATTTAAAATATAATATGAGAATAGTTCATATTAGTCTCAATTTTCATAAAAAATTAAAAATCATAACTTTAAAACCATCATTTTTAATAAATATTTTTAAAAATTAATTGTTAGATTTAATATTTTATTGATATAATAATCATATATATAAATTTTAAGTTGATTTAATATTTATAACTATTTGATTAAGAACTTATATTTTTAATATATATTTAATAGTGTTTAATTTTGTGTAATCAACAAATTAGTTAAGTGTATAAAATCAATCTAAAAATTGGTATT